CAAGCGCGCCGCTCCCAATTAATCGATCGTTATTTTTAAAGCGAATCGACGTTAATTGCGAGCACGCTCGTGTACCGGCTCTCCGGTTCTTCCTTTTCTTCTTCTCGCCGGTTCGCCCAGCTTCTTTTCGCGGTCCCAGCGAGACCGGTCGCCGGGGCGACTCGATCGAATTTAATTCAAGTATCCGATACCGAATGGCGGCGAGGCGGCCGTAAATAACACGGCGGGCCCCGATTCGGGTGCAGATAGCGGGGACACGTGGGTGGCGTGTATGGAGCGCGAGGGCGCCAAGAAAAATGTCTTAACTCGCTGCGCCACAGGATGGCGTGCACGCGCGTATACCAGCGACACGATGCACGTAACAATATCCGATGCGCGACAACCGTCGCTTCCGTATACGAGATATGAAACGAAACGCGAGATAGCCGCGAGACCTTTGCGGGATCCTCGACCAGAAAGAGACGAAAGGCGGTGCAATTCGGAGTTGTCGCGGTGAGCCGCGGGTGTCTCCGTTTCCTCTCTCTTGCCAGTTTTCGCTGCAGTTTCCCAATAGCCGAGCGATCTTCTGAAAGACAACTTTCAAAAGACGCCTGGATATCCGCGCGAAGAGCAGGGCACCGCGGTACGAGATCACGTCTCTTCGACAAGAGGCGAGAATTCGCGTGGTTCCTGCCCTTTACCTCGAATCGAAACGAGATCACCCACACACTCCCGTTCCGTCGACCACGGGAAGGTGCGCGCGCGTTCGTACGAGCGTTGGTGTACGCGCGGCGCGCTCGCCTGGCCGCGTGCACGCGTGCACACGCGGGCAAGACAAAGAGGCATAAACTCGTCACGCACGCATGCACATTCGTGTGGCCGACAGGCGCCACCGCGCCGGTCTTCCACTCGTGTACGTGTCAGTCGCCGCGTGTACGAACGTAACACCAGCTGCTGCACTCGACCGAGTGCGAACACGTGAAGCACACCGGCCGCGTGTGCGTGCATGCGTTACTCTGCGCTTGCCGGTGGGCAGGATCGCACGCGGATCGGCTCGCATTTTTCGACGACGCGCCGCACAGTGGTCCCGAATGATCAGACCTGATCGAAACCTCGGAACATCGAGGAATCGAACCAAAAGTCCGTACACGAAGACGGCGCGGGTAACGACAGCGATTTCTCGAGCCGTAATTTTTGAAAGTTTACAGGTAATCCCGATTAACCTCCTACCCTTCGATATACTCGTGGACGTACCCCTTTAGGATATTCCACTTAGAAATGAACTTGTCGCTACCGATTTCGGACCACTGTGCGCCACGTTTCTCGATTTTACGATGGGAACTCTTTTCCGGAACGTTTACGACGACGCATTTCTTTTTTCCCAGAGACGCGCCCGGCGCGTCTCATCCACGACCAATTAGGCGTGCGAGCCATTTTTCGAGTTATAAACGTTATATCGCTTATCGTCCGACACCGCGGGTGTTTATGCATTCGTCTATGGCAAATGGAACGTCTGCTCCGTGTTCCTTGCCTACCGTGTAAACGATCGGCTGCTACGAAGACTCGTTGACCACTAACGTTGTCAGCGATCGTTCGCGCTTCCGAATTGACAAAGATTCATAGTAGTACGAGAACCTAGATAACAGTGTACCGTCGTCTGAATTAAAAAACGATGGGTCAATCCACCCACGCTGCCATCGGCGATTCCGGCTTACGCGAAACTGACAATCTCTCGGCCGGGATCCGAAACGAATGAGTCATATCGTAAAATCGACCTCGGCCGCTCTATAAATATGCAAGCCGGCAGCCGCGAACCGATCGGGGAAATATCACCGTTCCGTAACTTGTTTGTATCGGAGCCGAGAGATAAGAGGCTGCGGCGGAGCACGCTCGGCGAACGCGCGCGTGCGCGTTCGTTAGGTAGTTTTTAACGAACCTTTTGAAAATGCAATACTCTGGCCTGCGCAAACCGCGCCGCGATCGCATTAACGCTGAAACTTTCCGAGCAACCGGCGTAACTCGGCGAGCTCGACAGTTCAGGGGTTAAGACTTCAACTAAGGTCGCGTTTTCTTCGATTAACAGCGGGACCAACCGATTCCGGGGAATCCGGGTAATCGCGGCGGGAACTTTCTAATCCGCGGGCACGTGAAATTCTCCGACGACGAGCTTCCTCGAACGAGAAAGATTCGTCGGACGCGTCGGATTAACGGCTCCAACCGCGACCGTCGGCCATCGCGTCGGCCATCGCGTCGGCCATCGCGTCGGCGACCGCGCAGCGGGGGGAAAAGATTTTTCCTGCAGCGAAGAATGCGATGCGCTCCGCGCGCGTCCGAGAAACTATAACACCAGTGAAATGGTTCCGTGAATCGAATCCCGGCTCGGTTTACACGAAGCGTATCAGTAATAGAAACTGTCTGGCCGGCCGGGAATTCTGAAAGGGATCGGACAAATTGAATCGAGTACCGATAAATACCTCGGGCATCGAGTTTAAATTCGTCCCAAGTGCGGATATCACCTGCGATAGTGCAATCGAATATCAACGAGGAAAAGATTTCTGTAACACGAACGCGAATGCAACAGACTTTTCGTTGCGATTACGCGCAGAGTTACTCGAATGGTTAAAGGAGATAAAATATCATTAAAAGATAACGCTCTCGATATCTAGCAACGACGTGCTGACTCTTTTCTCTTTTCCATAGAGCGAAGACCAACGAACATCACCGATGCCAGCCCAGTGTTCGCCGAAGACTCGCGGCATACTTGTAAACGAGGACCGCGCAGACAAGCGTGTCGGAAGGTATACCTATCGTGCACATAGGCATTATATTATGTACTCTGGTATCCGCGCGCCTAGCTGGCGCCCGACGCATACTTTATCGTCTTTCTAAACTCGGTATCGTGCGAACGGCAAAATTTAAATATTTATTATTTCGCAAGCGCCGCCGCCGCCGCCGCCGTCGCCGCCGCTTTTCGACGGAATTCGAGGGCCAGCCTCGAACGTGTTCCGGATCCCGCGGGACTCCTCGCGACCAGGTGGCGCCAGCCGACCGCGTAAATCTATCGATCGATCCGTGAATCATTCGGCCGGCGACGATCGTAACCGGGGAACCGTTCCTTCGCCGCGCACGATTTTATCGTTCCTGCGAGGTCGCGACGTAACGGATTCAATTTCTGTCGCGACTTCCTCGATTCCTCCCTCCGTCCGGTCCCGTCTCGGCCGCCTTCGCCCGCCTTCGCCCGCCCCACCCCCGCTCTC